CCTCCTATCCCTGTGCCCCCTTCTCAGGGGAATTCTCCCATTTCGTTCTCGCCAGGATCCCATGAGCAGTGCTGCTGTCACCCCTCCTGTACTGGGCCAAACTCGGGCTGAGAGCTCACATAACTCCCGCTCGCTGCTGACTCCTGTGCCGCGCCACCCCTGCCACCACACCACACACCCCACCGCTGCTCCCAAGAGCAGGTTTGCTCCCACCCACCGCCGCGTGAGCAGGGGAAGCGGAGTCTGCGAGGGCAGGACGGAGGAAGGTGGAGACAGCACAGCCAGGTCTGGGCACCCGGCGGTCTCTGTGCGCCAGGCAGTCCGCTACTCCACAGGCACGATTGTGTAATGCTTTTAATAACTCGGAAACTGGATATTGGTAGTCCATTTTTACAACTGAGGAGATTCAGACACGTGAAGTTTACCGGCTCCAGGCATCAAAGAACCTTGAAGGGCAGGAATTTGATCTCAAGTTCCAGTGATTTCTTTCAGACCGCTCTAATCCATCGGACAGGGAAAGGGAGTTTCCAAGCCTGATCAAAGACTTTTTTTTTCTTTTTTAATCTTCTAATTGCCAGAGGGCATATACACATGACAGAGAGAGATGGGGTGAGGAGGGGCGAGGAAGAAAGTACCTCACACACACCACAATCTCTTCTCCTGTTTCCCAGTCCTGGAGGGATTTGGGGCACTCACAAACATGTGACTGGTGTGTTTTCCAAGTCACCTGGTCCAGATTGAAACCGGGTAGACTATGTGGGACCTAACTCCCTTAACCCTTAGGCCACACGGCCAGTTGGACTTCCTTGGATTTTAACCGTAACTATTTTAACCTTTCTCCAAGCTAGGACCAGAAAGCAAATTAAAAGAAAAAAAAATAACCCTAATCTTTTCCATCAGATTGACATCTTTTTTTAAATTTTACTTTGTTTTTTGTTGGTTGATTGGTTCATAATTTGCTATAAAGCACGTGTGTCCACTAAGGAAAGAGAGAAGGTGAGAAATCACGCCTTGGGGGAATGACCACACCACAATCCCCTCTCCTCTATCATCCTATTAGGACTTTGGGCACGCATACACAGGCACCTGGCTTGACTTTCAAGCTGCTGGATCAGCCCTGTGGGATCCGGCCACCTTAACCTCCACACCATCTGCTGGACCTCAAATTGACTTTTCTTATTGTCAGCTGGAATGTTAGGAATCAGACTGTAAGCTAGCGATAAGAAATTCTCCCATAACCCTCCTAGATAAGTAATACTTTCCATAGTTTACCAATAAGAATTTATACTCAGAGAGTGAAGAACCTTGACCAAAATCACACGGCAATTAAGGAGCAGAAGAGATGAACGCATCATCACTAGTATTTGAGTCCACCAACACGTACGCCATGTTGCGTGTAGACATTTAGCCCCTTTGCCAAGCCACGCTCTTAAAGGACTCCCAGGCAAATCTGAAGCTGGCTCTCGGTCCTCAGAGTTTGGGTTCGGGTTTGGGGAGCTCTGTATCGGACTTCCTGAGAGTGTGATCAGTGTTGCTCTCTGTTCTCTCAGTGTCTTGGATTGTTTATAATCTTTCTGGACCTCCAATCAGAGTTGTACGAACACTATACCTGGATCTGGAAAGTACTCACCCTGATAACATGCATTTTTCCCATCCGAGAGTAAGATACCTTTGTGCATTGATAAAAGCAAAAGCGTTGGGCAGAGCTTGCCGGACCCTGGAGTACGACCCCCAACTACTCTGAGCTGCAGGTCTCTCATTGCTAACCAAGGGGCAGATGATGTGAGAGGCCTCCCGACCCTGCCATTCACCGGTTCTGAGCCTAAAAAGCAACAGTCATTCCAGAGACCAGTGACACCGAAAGGTTGCAGTTATTCAGGGAAATTGTCCCTTTCACAGAACGTTCCCCACAGAAAGGCAGAATGACTGAGCTGTGAATTCTCCCAACAGATAAGGTATGTTCACGTGCTAATTCCCCATCTAATGGGACATTTTAAGAACACACTTTCTGGGCCAGCCCATGGCCAGGTGGGTAAGGTAGACTGTTTTCACATTGCCAACAACACAGTTCGAGTCCTGAGCCCCGCAGCTTGAACAATACACCAAGTGTATGGGCATGCATGCCCCAAATCCTGAGAGGAAGCAGAAATGGGGGAGAAGGGATTGACGTGTGGCCACACCCTATGAGGGCTACTTTCTCACTTTCTTTTTCTCATTCTCTTTGTGAGTCTCTATTTGACTCTTTGGCAATGAAAAAGAAAAAAGAAAAGAAAGCCACGTTTTCCAGAGAAGATGTTCTCCTCCTCAATCCCAACCGTCGGTCTGACCTGTGGCTGATGGCTCATTTAAGGCTCACGATGCACGGCGAAAGGAGACAGCGGCAGAGGAGGGAGCCTTCCATTCCGGCCCCTAAAATCCTTGCTGTAATACTCCTCTTCCTTCACTGCAGTGACAATTAGTGCTTATGTAATGTCTTTTATCCCAGGAGCCTCGAGAGATTTACTACCATTATATGCTTGATTCCTTTCTGATTAGCCGTGGGAAAATGTCAGTTCTTATCGCTCACAAAAATTCTTGCCCTTCTCAGCTCAAGGTACCCCACACAGCCCCACTCACGTTCTCAGGTCAGGACTGGGGACGCCCAGGCCAGAAGCAGGAGACCCGAGCAGGGAAGGACTACATCTGGGCTCGGACGCTCTGCTGACATGCTCTGCTGGTTCTCAGAGGCCCGGCTCACAGGCAAGCCTGCCGTGTACGTGCTGGCTGCACGAGCTGCTCCTCCAGTGCTGGCTCCTGTGTGCTGCAGAGGACTTCAGGATTGTGGTTTGAAACCCTGGGCCTCCTGTAAGCCACCCGTGGTGCTGCATAGGCTTATTTCAGATGCTAGGGACAGTGTGTGCGCATGTGTGTGTGTGTAAGCGTGTCTGTGTTTACCCCAAGTAAGAGGGCAAAGCAGTGGGCTAGAGTGGCAGAGTACGGGCATCTCCTCCCAGAGCTCTGTAATCTCCCTAGTAAGGTGTTTGTGCAGTTAGAGAAATAGGCTACTTCTATGGGAAAATTAGCACTTGCCACTGGAGTCCTTCGGTGCAGTTGTGTGGTACTGAACAGCACGGGGACCGTCTGAGAAATGCATCGTTAGGTGATCTCGTTATCTGGGGGTGTCGGAGTGCTCTTACACAGCCTGGTGGGATAGCTGACTTCACACCGAGCTGGAGGGGATGCCTGTCGCTCCTGTAAGCCCACTGTCACACGGGTCTCTGTTGACTGAAACATCACCATGCGGCTCATGACTGTACTTTTCCGTCATCCTGACACACGTCTGGATTTGGAGCTGAATTCAGGCCGCCTCACACTACAGGGAAGGACGAGATGGTCAGCTTTGAAGTCAGAGTTCTTGGGTTCGAATCTCAGAAAGTTCAACTACCTGGCTTTGTGACCTTGAGAAACTTCTTGACCTTTTTTTTTTTTTTTTTGAGAGGTTTTTGCTATAGGGCACGTGCACTCACCAGACAGACAGAGACAGAGAGACAGAAAGCAGGAAATCACCCCCCAGGGGGGTGGCCACGCTGCAATCCCTTCTCCTCCATTCTCCTCTCGGGATCTTGGGCACGCACGCACACGCTCCCGGCGTGAGTTTAAGCCACTGGGTCTGGAACTCGAACCACGGTCAACTACGTGGGAGTCCAGCGACATAGCCATTACGCTAACTGCTGGTCCCTTGATCTTTTTTATAGAATAGTTTTCTCATTTAAAGATGTGTACAAGCCCATCTCTAAGGGCAGTCACAGGGGTAAAATGTGAGGATGAACTAGAGCCCAGCACAGTGTCCCATGCACAGTCTGTAGCAGGCTTGCTGCTTCTTTTTTTTTTTTGAGTTATTAATTTATTTAAATTATTATTTATACATTTTATCACTATACATCATTTAGATTGTAAGGAGACTTTACCCAACATAGTATACACCTCAGTCCAGCCCAGTTGAGAATACTATACACATCCTCATCAACAAATGATAAACCATATCTGTGTCCCACAAATGCCTTACCTCTCTATTTTTTTCTCAAATTTCCTTTCTTA